ACATGAATAGAGGATTGGGTTTAATTGATGAGATATCTTACACTATTATGTAATTAACTGGATAATGATTTTAAGCTAGATTATGGTTTTGGATTTTAATTGTCGAAATATTATACATTATTCTGCAATTAACTGAATTATGGTTTCGAACTTTAATTGCTAAAATATTATACACTATTCTGCAATTACCTGGATTTTGGTTTTGAACTGGATTATGGTTTTGGATTTTAATTGCTGAACTGTTATTTAGGTTTTGCAATTTACATGAATGATATGGATCGTATGCACCAGTATGGGACGGTGGCATACTAGGAATGGTTTAGCTTAGAACGCTAAGACCTACCCTGTGGGAATAAGGGAATGGATTATAAACATTGAATCCTACTTATATTTAGGTCAGATCAACTGAGTAAGTTGAGTGACTATATGGATTAACTGTTGTTTGTAGTTAAGTCATATCAACTGAATAAGTTGAGTGACTAACTGGATTATAAATCGTATGTCAGATCAATGAACAATTGAATGATATATTCTGGTTTTGAACGGACTTTAAATATATGATTATGGTATCATGAGATGAGCTTAAGTCTCAGGCTTATAGATTAGGGTGCGTATATGCAGTGGATGCGTAGCTGGCTATGATAGGTTGAGGTGTACCATGTTAGGTCTGAGTACTCATGCCCACCTTTGGGTGCGTTTTTGCATGTTGTCCTCTATTCAGGTTGAGACCCCTTTGTAGTCCAGTGAATGTCCCTTAGTGTGGATATATATATATATATATAGACTAGATGATATTGTGAGATATCTAGGGTGTATCTGCGTATCGGGTCATTGTATGGATTGCAGTTAGATTAGAACTTGTTCGTGGGCCTGACCCACTTTTATATTCTTTTCAGGTACGGGACGGTTCCAGCCTTAGAACTTGATCGTGCTTATCAGAAACAGTCACTCATTCATCTGTTTACGTAGGATTTCTATCTATGTTTTAGTTTGGGATTTTATTTTCAGTTTTTCCGTTCGGTTGGGATTTTGTTTAGGGGTCCACTAGATGAATTCCCGAATTGTACACTTGGAGGTTTTGGAGAATTGGATTATTATTATTCATTATCATTTTGAGGATTTTATATTTAATAATTCTTTTCAGTATATTTATTTAATATTTAATTCTTAAATCTTTTATATTTTGTGTTCGTTTATATATTAATTGTCTGATATTCTCTCGGGTTTGGGCTTGGGCCCGATCAACCCATATCTCGGATTCAAGGGGTATCACAAGAATGTATCAAGGGAGTTTCTTGACCAATGAGGCAATAGAGGTCGCTGAAGGAATAACCCAGACCCAAACACTTTTCCAATGATGTTTGGGGGGAATTCAATGGCCAACTTACCCAAAGATTGGCCAAAAAATACTTGCTCATTACCCCAACCTATGGTGTCGATTCCACCAGCAGTGAAGTCGATTCCGCCAGTAGTAAAGTCGATTCCACCACCACTTCCATCGAAGATACAGATTCCACCTAAGGTACATAACCTTTCAGCAACAGTGAGGTCGATTCCAACAACAGTGAAGTTGATTCTACCAGTAGCAGTTCAAGTTCCATTTCAGTTGGAATCTTCAGTTAGAAGTAGTTTATTCCATGAGGAAGGTCGATAAACCTTTCCATAGGAAGGCGTTATCACTTCTTCCATTGGAAGACGATTTTCCACAGTCAGATTTTCCTTCGGAAACGGCACATGCTTCTCAATCATTGTATTTTCTTCCACTTGAAGAATATAATGGTTATAGTATTTCTCTTCCAATTTTGGAAAAAAATGCTAGTACTTTATTTATCCCAAATTCACATCTTATGATTTTTGGGGGGCAAAACTTGGCCAATCAACTATGTATTTGGCCAGAAGATGTACAAATTCGTCCTCCTCGTAAACCTCCAGACCCCGGGGGGCAACGAAATTAGACGTGAGGCTTCAAATCCTTAAGCTTATGACTTTCGTCTTAGTTAATAGGCTATTTAAAGTTTTTGGCCCAATAGTACATTTCGGCTGAAAAATTTTAGTTATTTCAATAAGAATATCACATGATAAATTTTCACTCACATCTAAAATTTGATATGTCTTACAATTCTTCAAAGAATATCAGGCACATCAAATTTGGGGGGGCAATGTTTACACCCTTATTTTTCACTTTCCAGTAGGAGATTACCCTGGTCGATTTTAATGGAAAGGTACTACCACATTCCAGTGGAAAGTCTTGGGATACATGGCAGCCAAGGAAGCAAGCAGTTACAAGTGGTTACATGCAAAGTCATAGGATACATGACAGCCTAAGAAGTGAGTGGTTACAAGTGGTTACATGGAAAGTCATGGAACACATGGCAGCTTAGGAAGTGAGCAGTTATAAGCGGTTACATGTAAAGTCATAGAATACATGGCAGCCTAGGAAGCTGGTCTATTCCAATGGAAAGTTACTACGACATTCCAATGGGAAGTCTTGGGACACATGGCAACCAAAGAAGCAAGCGGTTACATGCAAAGTCATGGGACACATGGCAGCTTAGGAAGTGAGTGGTTACAAGTGGTTACATGCAAAGTTATGGGACACATCCTAGGAAGTGAGCGGTTACATGCAAAATCATGGGACATATGACAGCCTAAGAAGCTGGTTGGTCCAATGGAAAAGTATTACGACGTTCTAGTGGAAAGTCTTGGGACACATGGCAGCCAAGGAAGCAAGCGGTTACATACAAATTAAGTCATGGGACACATGGCAACTTAGGAAGCAAGCGGTTACATGCAAGCTACCATTACTAAATTCTATAAATAGGGCATGATGTTGTAACTTAGAAAGCCTGCTCAACGCCAAACACATCATTTCAATACAATTTTACTTTTCATTGCAATGTACTTTCAATATAATTAGTCTTAGTCCTGCACTTTACTTTTCAATATAACTACTCACTTTGTTGCAAATACCCTCCTGAACTACAAAAGTGTGCAAATACCCCCCTGAGACTCACCGGATCAACTTTTTCGACGTGTGTAAAGTCACGCACCTGTTGAAATTATAAGAATGCCGAAACTGCCCTTTGAAATTATGAGAATGTCAAAATCTCTAATAAACCCACCATCGTCATCATCATCATCCTCATCGTCGTTATCATTATCATCATCGATGTCTTTGCCACCGCTAAACTTTTCGTCCCTTCCAGCCACCGCCCTCGTCCACCTTTGAGACCCAACTGGACCTCACTCGCTTCGTTGGAACCAGACCCTTATTCGACTTGGATTCCTTCACTTTCCAACTCCCAATAGCAACACTGTCCAGATTGCCTTCTCTGTCTTTGTCGTTTAGAGGGTTTTTGCTCAAATTCATCAATGCTCGTGTTTTCAAAACCTTCTATATATTCATTTTCTTGCGTTTTATCAGTAACCAAATTAGGATTCTTTCAATTTTATATGTGCCCTTCAGTTGAAGAACTGAAATGATTAATACACTAGATAATATGTTTGTAGATTATCATATAATTTAAACTGCAAGAGGCAAAAATTAAAGTAAAATAAAGGAAAAAACTAGTGGAAACGCATAAAATTTATGATTTTTTACTTTTTGATATCAATTTCGTGAAATGCACACACATATGCTCACTGCTTTATATATATATATATATATATACATGCTGGTTGAAACAATTAAATAGAGTTTCTTATTCAGATCCGATTCTTACACTGTCTAGGGTTCCGGGGAATGAGATATATATTGATATATATATATATGAATATATGTTTAAGTGAAAAAAAGAAAACCTAACGGCGAGGACAAGGAAAGGCCTTTTTGGTACTCCTTTTATTCTCGTTCAGATAAAGAGAGTGAGAGAAGTGAAAAGATAAAGTAAAGAAGAGAGAAAATCGAAGGTTTAGAGAAAGAAAGACCCAAGTAACCCAATAATTTTTAGATTCTCTAATTCAAATGATATTATAGCAGTTTGCTCTCAGATTTAGGAAGATAAGTACCAATCCAAGAAAAAAACTGTAACTAGATAAGGGTCCAACTCTTCGCCTGTGATCTCCGGCGAATTCACCTCGTAACAGTCCAATGGGGCTTCATTAATGGACCCACTCCGAGCTCTATTAACAAACCTAGTTCGGCGAGCTTCATTAACCTTGGCCGGAGAATCTCAATCGTTTTCAGTTCAGTTAGTCTCTAAGGAAATAGAAAGAACAAAACAAAGAGAAGAACTCCAAAATCTTCATCAACGGAGAGTTTCATAGAAGTTCAACAAGTGACCATTAATTCCGGCAACACTTAAGTTCTATTTCAGTCTGGCGAAGCCCAAAGAACATTTTAGTCCAGCAAGCACATGTGTACCCTTTCGTCGTGTGACGAATTTTTTTTTTAGTGGTAGAGGAACTCTTGGGTTACTTTCTTAACGTCATCCAATGGGGGTAAATTTGGTATTTCACAATCAGGGTTTGTTTTTTTTTTTTTTTTAAATATATATATAATTTAATAAGTAAGGTTATTTCGGTCATTTCAAATCATCCGACATTAGAAAGTTGATCCGGTGAGTCTCAATGGGGTATTTACACACTTTTATAGTTTAAGGGGTATTTGCAACAAAATGACTAGTTTAAGGAGTTTTCTTCCTTTTTTTTTTTTTTTTTTTTTTTTTTTTGTACTTTTGCCTAAATTATAATTGTTGGACCATATAATCACCAAAAATGTAAAATATTCTTCCATTTGTGACCCTAGTCTTTAAAAGTTACAACCCGACCAAGGACAAATACTAGTAACAGTGAATTTTTTGGATTTACCTACCGAAAGAACTTGATTCTATCCAATACTAGTTGTCCTTCAATGAATGCCAATGGACATGTGATGACAAAGAAAGCAATCACATCATGACATGACATGCATGCATGTAGTCAAGGAAAAAAAAAAAAAAAAAATTTCCTTCAAGATAGATCCCCTACTCTAATATAAATACAGACATCTTGGTGGGTCGCAGATTCAAAGAGCTGGGTCCTCTTCACTATAGAATTATTTTAGGGTCCATATTTTTGGTTCCATCCCAATCCCATCCCCTATGTTGTTTTGAATGTCCCATGGCATGCGGCTTAGAAATGTACAACAAAAATTCCGACCACAAAGCTGGCCTCTCCTCATGTGCCGCCACTCCAATGAGCCCTAGAATCTCCTTCTCTAATGACTTTGTGGAGTCCAACCATTCTCAATATCAACACCACACAACCACCATCAGGAGTGGTACCTCCAGAGAGGCGCCACCGCCACCGCCGCCGTCCTCCGACTTTGAATTTTCAGTGACCAACTATTCCATGATGAGTGCTGATGAGCTGTTTTTCAAGGGCAGGTTGTTGCCTTTCAAGGACAGTTGCACCAAGACCACTCTCAGAGATGAGCTGTTGGTGGATGATGAGGATGACGACGACGTTTCGATGAGGCCTCCCAGGGGTGCTGTGAGGTTGAAGGAGCTTCTCGGTCTCAGGAAGTCCCACATTAGATCCAAGAAATCGAATAAGAATGATGGGTTTGTGGAAAAAAGGCCTGGTTTGGTTCTTGATCAGGAGGCACACCGTGGCAATACTTCGGTGAGGCTTATTTGATTCAATTACTGAAACGAAACATTTTTTTGTAAGCCACACATTTATATATATATATATATATATTCGTCTAATTTGTGATTGTCTGTGTGCAGGAACAGTTGAATAATGGAGGGACAAGTTGCAAGGATATGGAGTTGGGGATGTAATGAATGGAATTGTTTGTTGATGGTTATGTAAGATTTGTAGAGGTGTGAGGCTTTATCTTTTTTTTTTTTGGCTGAGATTTTGATAAATTAAGAGGTTCTTATTTGTGTTAGGTAGTGCGGTTGGATCTAACTTGTGATTCATGTTTTCAGAAGTTGTTTTGGAGTCTTCCCATTCATTTCTATTTCTATTTCTATTTCCTAGAAGTTTGTGTATGGCTGTTTTCTTTACAAAATGTTTTGCAGTTGGAGAACTTGTGTATGATGTTTGGCACTCACAGAGCCATCTCAAATCATGTCTTCTTGACTTGGGGCCATTGTGTGTTTTTCAGGTGGTCATGGGAAGATTGCTCTTTTGTCTGTTGGGTAGATTACAAGACTTTTCATTATTTTTAACTATTATCATTATTTTTTGGAATTATTACACGTAAATGGTGCTAATAATTCATATTTATCATGTTTTCAAAGTCTCATAGTTTGAAAAAAACGAAGACATGAAAAAATACTGTTTATCTTCGCTGAGGTACCACTTTTAGGTACATAGGTATCACTATAGGTATCACTTTTTATGCATGCAGGTATTATTTTTTGTTATTAAATATCACTTTTTGAGTTGCACAAAAAACAAAAGTGGTACTTATATACCTAAAAGTAGTACCTCAGTGGGTGTAAACAGTCTTTTTTTATATTTACCTTAACATTTTGATCAAATTTTTTTTTTTTTTAAATTATGAAATTTTGACTCCATTAAATAATAAATATGAATTATTAGCACCATTTATATATAATAATCTTTTTTTTTCTTTTCTTTTCTTCTCCTTCCGGTACAATAGTTAATCACTCTTGTACTTGGTTCTGTTAGCAGAGACACATAATTTAACTCAAGAAAATAATTGAAACATTATTATTTTTTTAACATCCACCCAGTAAGCCTTCACAAAGGGAATGCCCCACTGAATGGATGACAATTGACAAACAAAATCACCCTATAACCATTAAACCAGCCTCCTATATGATTCAAACTATGGGCAGTCCATATATATGTTGTTTATACACACGCTTTCTGTCAATTTTTTTGTTTGTGTTTCTTGGTTTCCATTTACTTGAGAAAGGTAAATTAATGGGAACTTGTTGAATCTTGACCACCAAAAAGCTTTTATTTTTGAGGTGTGAATTGGAGCAGCGTGGCTGGGGGAGTCAGACATAGCAGTCAATGTGGACAACTAAGGCACAGCTGTGCATCATTCAAAAATGCTGTATAAAAAAGTACAGTTAGGTTGAAGATCTCATAAATTGGACAAATAATGCAAATGGGCATATCCCAACATATATATGGATTGGTGCCAGTCAAGTATATCTACCTCTCTTAGTTGGGCAGAGAGAGAGAGAGCTACTTTGCAACAAACTTGATGGTCACTATACTATACTCCACTACTCTTCTCCCAAGGTATCTTGCAGGCTTACGGTCGAGCCCTGCTCCTCCATAAAAGCATTTTCTTGGCCACTAACCTAACTTCATTTTACTGTATCTAAACTATAAGTAATGGATTTAGGTTATTTTACTGTATCTAAACTATAAGTAATCCATACAACTTCATTAGACCAAAACATTTGAAGTAAAGTGGTACCTAAACATTTTTTCATGACCAATATCTTGGCATATCATGATAATTAAGTCCATACAAAATTGTTTGATTATTTTTCTGTATCTATAACTATAAGTAATTTAAGTTGTTTTTAGGAGGTTTTATTTCATGGAATTCGTATTAAAAGTTTTGAAAATAAGTTGGTTGTTGCAAAATTTAGTTTTGTTGACATTAGCATGAAAAAGTTAGAATATAATAATTGGGATTATTACATATACATGGACTTATGGACCATATTTACCGTTTGATGGAATCAAAGTAAATAATGTTTTCAAAATATAAAATTGACAAAAATATTGACGTGGACATGAAAAAATATTTTTACTATTTTTAGGTACCACTTTTGTCATGGACTAGCTATAAAGGTATCATTTATATGCATATAGATATTATTTTTTGTGCACGCAGATAACACTTTTTGTGGAGGACAAAAAAATGATACATGCGTGCACAAATTGATACATCTATAACACAAGACAAAAGTGTTATATGGAAATAGTAAGGGTGATTTGGACAATGAACAATGTTTTTCAATGTCTACGCATTTTGGTATTAATTTTTTCAAAACATCATAACTTTGACTCCATCAAATGGTAAATATGCATCCATAACACCATGTATTCGTAATAATCCCTATAATTAAGAGTAAGTCTGCCATGACTACCTTCAGAGTGAGTTTGTGCCTTCTTTTATTAGGTCTATCGTCTAAACTGATTCAACGAATGAGAAGGCGAAGCACGAGTTCACTATCAGGAGAGAAGTACTTTATTGCTCATGTTGTATTAATGACATGATATTACTAATTGATTAGAAAGCAGGATACGAAGATCCGAATACAACACGATATGAACTTGGCGATTCGAATAACTCTTAATTTTTTTTCAAATAAAAATAAAAATCAGTATGGGACCTTTTTTTTTTTTTTTTTTTTTTTTTAACCTTTTCTTTGTTTCCCCTAATAGATATTATTTGGGGGCAATCTCCTAGGGAATGGACTTGGGCTGGGGTATTCCCACAGTGTATTTATAGGTTGGGCTATTTTGTATTGCCAATGGGCTTGTTGAGTCCTTTTGTTCTTGGGCCCACACTACACTGTACGTATTACTATTTATACAAAAATTGCTTCAATTTCCAAAAAAAAAAAACAAAAGCAAGAAAAAAATCAAATTCAATCAACATCGAAATCCCACATATTTATGCTATAAGCGTGTGGTTCATCTACCGATTCATAATCGAAAATTCGAAACATTAAAAAATTCGGAATGGTGGCATGTAATCTTATTAGAGTAACAACACAAATTCTTAATTTTTTAAAAAAGTAACCGTTACGCATCATATTCAACATCCACCTTTATACTTCGTTTGAAAATACAGATTACTTGGGGTTCATCGTACTGAAATACATTATTGGGATTCAATCCAACGTATGATTTATGTAGCTCGAAAACCGTCGAGCACATTTGGCCTGAAGCCAGAATAGATAGAAAAAGGAGTCCCTATGAAGAGCAGACTGACAAAAGTTGTATGCTGTGCTTCTTCCCCTCTTCTGGAGTGAAGCTACTGACTCACTCATACAGGAGCTTGCAGGAACTGGAACAACACCATGCTCATGGTTAAACTGAAAAATATAGTGATATGCACTGGTACACATACAAAAACTTCATACCAGATTTTAACAAAAATTTATGCCACTACCATCATCCTTGCAGTATTGTTATAATGTGCGATCCGAAGATTTACAGTAAGTTGATAACCTAATGCAACAATGTGAGTAGAAGTTATGGCCACAACTACGAAAGTAAACTATCAGAAACATATTTACATGTGACCATATTTAAGAAAATACAAAAATTACCATGGAGTACCAACTTCTTTCTGAAACTTGAGTCTATAGCTCTCAGCTTTTGACTCCAGAGTCTCAGTATCAGCATTAATCTTTTCAGGCGCCTTCTTCAATTGCACAAGCTTTGCTTCCAGATCTCTTATCCAATTTTCTGCTCTAACATGTTGAGTTTTAGCCTCTATATACCTCTCTGCCTTCAAGGCATTTTCTGATTCAAAGGCAAGGGTCTGAAGCCTGTGCAGCCGAGCGCGTAAAAAACCAACATTCATGCCCACAACTTCAAAAGAGTTCAAGGTCTTCTCCCAATTCACAAATTCGTCCCTTGAGGTGGTAAGCTTGCAACCTCTTAGGGCGTCAGCAATGTTGACAGTTTCAAAGATAATACCAGTAACCAAATTACAATTGAGGCCCTGGACAAGATGAGCATGAAGAAATGAATTCTTACTGCAGCAGAGCTCATAGTACTTGGTCCATATGGGTTCCGGGAGCTCAGAATTGATAAATAACCTATTTACAGTAATTTTGAAGTCTTCAATGCTTTTGATGACTTCAAATCCATCAGAAGAACCGGAGAATTTGGAACCTGCAAGAACTTCAGAAGCAATCACATCACTATCATTTTCAGATTGTTCCACTGGCCACACAAGTCTAGATACTGATTTAAACAAGCCTGTCTTTTTATTCTTCTTTTGAACCATAGCTAATGGAGAGACTTCAAACACTTTCTTTTCTTGTTCTTGAAAGCTACTGTACCCTTGTTGTCTTAGACGTACATTGAAAAATTAATTACTACTATCAAATAACAACTGCCTCAGCTATGCTAACTGAAAATGGAATTACCAAAGAGAGAGATCAGTCAACTAACCTGCAACATTTTTTTTCGTATGAGCATCCAAATGAACACCATCTACCTCAGTAAAATCATTTGCCCTTATTATGTACACCTACAGAAGTAAGGAGATATATATATATATATATATATATATATATATATAAATGGAAAATGTAGTCAAAACAAGTAAATGGGTTTGTAGTGTTACTACAAAAAATTGCCTTCTCTCTTGTATGCCCATTGTGGATAACATAATTATGTAAAACATGGCAAGAGAAACTATGATTAACAGATTAAATAAATCAACAAGGAAAACTGCTTTACCTATTTTCCAATAGAATTTAACAAACATGTCAGAGCAATCACAAGAAAGTTCTGATCAACTGGAGGCCCGGCGCAGAAGTAGCCAACCTCCTAATGTTCTATTTATCACTTGCAGAAGGTTCCACATCCTCCGCAATGTTAGCTACAGAAATTGTTCCAACCGACCGTCACTCTTATGCCCTCAAGTACTCTCAGCTCCATCTCGGGTGTTAGTGCACACCTACTCCCCTAAATGCCACCCCGACTATTGTTAATCTGGGAACAAACTTTAACCACAGTTTAGCTCCTATCTAATTGCATAATATGGCCACCAATAATGCAGCTCCATTACCAGCAGGCCAGTGGCCTAGCGATACCAAGCCCCTACTTCTCAAAAGGAGGTTAGGGGTTCAAACCTCAATGAAAGCATGGATGTGTGAGTTAGTAACAACTAAGAAAAAAAAATAATGCAGCTCCATTTCCCTCAACTAATGCTTTTCCTATCAAGCAATTTATCAGAAATTCCAGTGACAGATAAATATAAACATGCCTTTGCTTTCCTTTTGTTTGACTGCATTCTCACCAATTACTCTAGAATCCACCTCTAACACTAAGGTTTCTAAATTCTCATGGAAATTAGAGGAAGAAATTCTCTCATTTTTAGGGCTGGTCGATGCAGAAAGATCCAGTGTGCTACCGGATTGATGTAGTAGACTAAATTAACAAGAAATAGTCAAACCTGATGGAAACATATAATGAATAAGATACATTTAAACCTGAATTGAAACATTATAACTAACAAGATAACTTCAAACCTGATGGAAAAATATAATGAATAAGATACATTCAAACCTCAAGGAAACATTTAGTCTCACAATGAGATATCCTTCTTTGGAACATGATGAAGAAAGTCTGGCAAAATAATTTTTGTTGCTTTCGTCCCAGTTCTACATATATATATTTTTCTTTATCTCCAATAAACACTATAGCCAAAAGTTGGCCTTTAATTTAGGAAATTGTTCCTAATTTCCAGTCCTTTCCCATCATAATTCACCTTTTTTATTTTTATTTTTATTGATTAAGGTTTTCTTTTTGCTGTCTTTCATGTATTGGAAGTATGCTTATTCAATTAACTCATTGCTGTTTCCTTTTGATCTTTATATGTTCTTTGTCCTTTGAGAGTATGCCCTCATTTCATCTGTACTTCACTCGTTTGATCTCTAATGAAATCCACGTCCATTTATGGAAAATTAAAAAAAAAAAATCACATTCTCTCCATGTCCTCATTCTTATACCTGCAACCTATAAGATGCTCCTTCACACATGTCACAGTTATACTTCTACATACAAGTCTGATCATTTATACTAGCGCCAATTTACTTTACTATACATTTTCAAATCTCACTTAAAAGTTGTCATTTGACATAAAATAATTTAGAAATCTGAATTATTTACCCACATGGAACTTGGGAGAAAATATTCAATACAATGGTGATATAATGTCCTTTCCAGGACATGTTTTGAAATGTAAATTCTTTTCAATATTCATTCTGCTCAAGTGTATGATCTATAAAGGTAGCATTGCATCATGCCTGATCATTACACTTGACCAGTCACTTTTACTTTCTGCTGAAAATACAAAACATACATGTCGAATAAAAATCAACAAAAACATACTAAATTAATAGAACATAATTCAGAATGTCACCTTGAATTTGTTAACTTCTGTTAATTGGAAGACCAAAACATCCCCCTCAAGCAATTTGTGTAGAATAGAAAACTTCCTCCACCCTGCACTAAGACCTTGGTCATCTGCAATGAATTTTAACTCAAATTGTTCCCCACTTTCATTTTCCAAAATGATGATAACATCGTCTTTTGGTAGGTGCGACTTGCAGAATGGCTTAGGAATGCGCTGTCAACAAAAGAGTTAGTAACAGAAGAATCATTACTGCTCTGTTCAATGTTGTTTGATGCACTTCCAATCAGTTTGATTTTAGTGCTTACCATCCAATAACCACGGGAAACATGTGATTTGACCATTAGTTTCACAAAGCTAGGAAATTTAGTGCCTAGACTGGATTGAACCTCCTCTGCTCGAAGAATAGTGGATGACTTAACTTCACCAGGACTATTTAATGCATTACTTGTAGCCTTTTTTCGCTTACAGCTTCAAGTAAAATGAACAAGTTATTATTTTCATAATGTAAACTCGATAAATGATTAAAAGAAGCAATCAGATGATTAGATACTGACAACTTTCTTGCATGATCGGGTCCTGCCTGTTCAAGAAATAATAAAATTCACCCATTAATAATTGCACTTCACTTAACGAAAACCTATTATGTTATTGGATAAAAATAATATTTACTGATGTTGTTGATTATATTTACTTGTGAGAAGTGGAAGGAACAATTAAGACGGATTGGCAACATTCAATGAAGTATGAATCAAGAGAAAGAGCAACACGGGTTCAGGACCCTTGAGACCAAAAGGACTTTGGTTGATGTAGCGAGGAGCTATGGTTAGAGCAAATGCTTTTGACCAGAAGCATATGCCCAAACCTAAAGCAAGCAGAAAGTTAGAACTGTCCAAATGCCAAGGGATATACTGCTCAATTTGATGCTTTCCGGCAATATTAGAAGTATTTATATATATATATATATATATATATATATATATATATATATATATATATATCTGAGAGAGAGACACAGATATATAGGGTACTTTTGCAGAAAAATAAAGAATGGGTGTGAAGAAATGAGCTCTTACATGCTTTGATATCAAACGACAATGTTTCCTGGTCTTCATTGGAGACATCTTGTCTTTGATTTCATTGGGCTTCTTTCGTTTACCCTGAAGAAAGCAAACCAGATCAACTTTAATTATGAAAATTTAGAGAGAGAAGAGAGAAATATAGAGTTTTAGGGAGAGAAACCATGGAAGAAATGGAGGGAGAGAGGGTTGATGGGTTGTTAGACAACTGGGTCAGATTCAAATTGTGTTCCATAGATTTGAGACTCTGCTCTGATGTTGGCCATTTGCAAGCATAACCTTGCTCTTCCTTCTCCACGACCTTCTTCTTGACCACATTGTGGACATGACGATCATCACCATGACTCAGACCTTCACTTAGCTTCACACTCTCTATCTTCATCTTTCACACACACACACACACACACACAAAAGTTTGCTTACAGAATTTTGAAGGAAGAGCGCAGAAAAAGAGAGGACGACAAAAAGAGGAGGACAAAAATGGTCCTTCGACAGTTGAAAGGGTTCATAAATGGTTGCACTACTTTTTGTAAAAATGTCAGTAGAGGCCACCTGTAATTGTTGAATTGATTTATAGTCGAATTAGTTTTAATTTCAAAATGAAAAAAGTGCTGATTATATAATAATGATCTAGGGTTGGACTGGTTTGAATTCTTTTAACCCTTGTCTTTAGGCCAATTTAATATCACCCAACAACTAGAATTATTCACAACCGCCAAAACACATGTCAAGGGTTGCACCAATTGATACACCATCTTATCAGCAAAGAAGGCACATAGTTATACATGGCTTGTATGATTGAAGATTTCTGGTTTAAAGTGGCCACTGCTAGTCAACATTGGGAGAGTTGCAATGGCTGTTGCCCCTAGCTTCTTTATTAGATTCCATTCGATTGAAGGTGCAATTTTTTTTTTTTTTTTTTTTTTTTTTTGGGAAAGAATTGATGGTGCAACTTCCCATAGTGAAACAAACATGGGCATGACACAATTCAGCCTCCTAATGCATCAGTGTTTAATTAATCCGTAATTCAATATTATTGGTTCTATAGATGTATTTAAGTTTTTTTTTTTTTTTTTATCCGAAGAAATGGCCTTGTTTGGCTTCCTCTTTGTTCACAGATTCTTGACAACAGAGGAAAGAATATCTCGTTTCCCTTTGCAGTGTGTTCAAATTCCTCCCACTGCACATGAACAAATCACTAGGAGTCTAGGAACCCATCGTCACATTGATTTGTATTGATTGTTTATCCAAAAAAAAAAAAAAGAGGAATATTGGCGTGCAAGCTCAATAGACAAACCACCCCAAAATCCCATTTAAAAAGAGAAGCTGTCCAACATCCACATTTTACACTGACGAAAGTCGTGTGCTGCTCTTCTTCCGCTTTTCTGGAATGAAGCTACTCCTACAGGATCTTAACGGGAACGTGACCACATTCACCATATATTGAAATGAAAAATATAGTGACATGCACAGGTTCGCATATACATACACCATACATGATTTGAACAAAAAAATTGTCCATTCCTAAGTTGTACCAAGTTAATAGCCTACTGCTACAATGTTACTAGAACTTACGGCCAAAACTACAAAAGTTACTACCAAAAACATATTTACCCTTCTTTCCTAGTTACATGTGGCCATAGTTAAGAAACTAAAGATATATTCTTGCTATATATATAGAATATTACCATGGAGTATCAACAGCTTTCTGAAACTTGAGTTCATGGCTCTCAGCTTCTGACTCCAGAGTCTCAATATCAGCATCAATCTTTTCAGACACCTCCTTCAATTGCACAAGCTCAGCTTTCAGATCTCTGATCCGGTTTTCTGCTTCAACACGTTGAGTTTTAGCCTCTAAATACCTCTTTGCCTTCAAGGCACCTTCTGATTCAAAGGCAAGGGTCTTAAGCCTGCGCAGCCGAGCACGTAAAAATCCAACATCCATGCCCACAAGCTCAAAAGATTTCAAGGTCTTCTCCCAATTTGCAAATTCGTCCAATGAGGTGGTGAGCTTGCAACCTCTTATGGCATCAGAAATGTTGACAGTTTCAATGATAAAACCAGTAACCAAAGTACTATTGAGGCCTTGGAAAAGATTAGCATGTAGAAATGAGTTATTACTGCAGCAGAGCTCATAGTACTTGGTCCATATATGTTCGGGGAGCTCAGAATTGATATGTAACCTATTTACAGTAATTTTGAAGTCTTCAAAGTTTTTGATGTCTCCAAACGCAACAGAAGAACTGGAGAATTTGGAACCTACAAGAACTTCTGAACCAATCAATTCACTATCATTTTCATATTGTAACAAGCCTGTCTTTTTATTCTTCTTTTGGACCATAGCTATTGGAACGGACTCCGAATGCTTTCTCTTGTTCTTGAGAGCTATTGTACCCCTGCCATCTTTTCATCCAACAGAAAAACAAAACCATGGAGACATCGAAACATACATATCAAATAACAACTTTCTTAGCTATGCTAACTAATAATGGAACTACCAAAGAGAGATATCAGTCAACTAACCTGCATCATTTTGTTGTGTATGAGCATCCAAATTTAGAAGGCCAAGAGCACCATCTACCTCAGTAAAATCATTTGCCCTTATAATGTACACCTACAGAAGTGAGGAGACATATATATATTGGAACCAGTAGTGAAGACAAGTAATGTGTTTGTAGTGCTGCAACTAAAAGATTTCATCTCTCTTGTATGCCCATTGTAGAAAACAAAATTAAGTAGTAAAACATTGCAACAAAAAACATGATTAATAATTAAATAATTCAACAAGTAGAACTGCTTTCAGCTTTTTTTTTTCCACATAGAATTTAACAAACATGTCAGCGCATTCATAAGAAAGTACTGATCCGACTGGGGTCCCACATTTGAGAAGGCATCTGCTACGTAGTATCTTATTTACTTCAGTATGAATACGAAATGCGTAAGTAGCCAACCTACTAATGTATTTATTTATTTTTCCTTTTGCTATGATAACCTCCCAATGTATCCTCCACAATGTTAGCTGGTTAATTTGCTCCAAACAACGATGACTCTCATCCCCTCAAGTACTCTCAGCTCCATCTTGAGTGTTCAGTGCACTCCTACCTCATCACAAAATATAGCCATGAATAATGCAGCTCCATTTCCCTCAATTAATGCTTTTCCTTTCAAGCAATCATCAAACATTCCAGAAATAGTACTAAAACATAAACATGCCTTTGGTTCCCTTTTATTTGGCTGTATTCTCTCCAATTACTCTACAATCCACATCTAAGGCTTTAAAATATTTCCATAAAAATTAATGGAAAAATAGACGATATCTCATTTTGAAGGCTGGTCAATGCAGACAGATCCCGTGTGCGCTATAGATTGTTGTGTTTTAATGGAACATACTTAATACACAAGATGTGTTCAAAACTGATAGAAACATATAACGAATAGGATACATTTAAACCTGATGGAAACATTATGTTGATAAGATACATTTAAACCTGATGGAAACATTATGTTGATAAGATACATTCAAACCCGATGGAAATATAAAATGGATAAAATACATTCAAACTTGATGGAAACAATAAGTATCACAATGAGATATAACAATACAGAAGTTGTTCCTGTACAGAGGTTATTCCTGTTCATCTTCTTCAATTGCCCTATGTATAAGCTTGAATTATGCAAAATCCTTCTTCAGAACATGGGGAAGGAAGGATGGCAAAACTTTTTTGTGTCTTCTTCCCTCTGAGTTCCTCAAATGTTCTTTTATCTCCAAGGCACACCATAGCCTAAAGTTGGCCTTTAATTTAGGAAATGGTTCTGGATATCTTCCAATCATAATTCACATTTTCTCCTGGCCCTCCTTATACCTTTAACCTGTAAGACACTCCTTCACATAAGTCACATTTTTACTTCCGCACACAAGCCTGGTCATCTACACTAGTTCCAATTTCTACTATTTCACTCTTTCAAATGTCACTTCAAAGTTGTCATTTGACATAAATTATTTTGAAATCTTAATTATATACCCATATGGAACATAGAGTAAATATTCAATACAATGGTGATATCATGTCATTTGACTCATTTCCCAGCATGTTTGGAATTTACGTACTTGTCAATATTCATTCTACTTGAGAGTATGAGCTATAAAGGTAGCGTTGCCCTCAGGCCTGATTGTAACACACTTTGATGCAACTAAAAACCTGGATATAGTTAACCATTCACTTACTTTATGAAAATACAAACATACATGTTGAATAAAAATCAACAAAAAATACTGAATAAACAAAATATAATTAAGAATGTCACCTTAAACTTGTTAGCTTCGGTTAATTGGAAGACCAAAACATCCCCCACAAGCAATTTGTGTAGAGTAGCAAAATTCCTCCACCCTGCACTAAGCCCTTGCTTATGTGGAAGGAATTTTAACTCATACTGTTCCCCACTTTCAGCTTCCAAAATGATGATAGCTTCCATTTTTGGTAGGTGCGACTTGCAGAATGGCATAGGAACCCCCTGTCAACAAAGGAATTGGTAAAAAAGAAACAATTTTGCCCTGCCCAATATTGTTTTATTCGCTTCTTCAATCTGTTTGATTTTAGTGCTTACCATCCAAAAACAACCGGAAACATGTGATTTGACCATCAGTTTCACAAAGCTAGGAAATTCAGTACCCAGACTCGATTGAAACTCCTCCGCTCGAATCATAGTGGATGACTTAACTTCACCAGAACTATTTAATGCATTACTTGCAACCCTTTCTCGCTCACAGCTTCAAGTACAATCAACAAGTTATTATTTTCATAATGTAAACTTTACAAATGATTAAAAGAAGCAATCAGGAGATTAGATACTGACAACTTTCTTGCATGATCTGGTACCGCCTGTTCAAGAAATAATAAAATTCACCCATTAATAGTGTAGTCCACTGAACAAAAACCTATTGTGTTATGTCCTTGCTTGTATTTACTTGTGAGAAGTTGAAGGAACAATTAAGAAGGATTGACAACTTTCAATAAACTACGAATCAAGGGAAAGAGCAACATGGGTTCACAACCCTTAAGACCAAAAGGACTTTGGTTGATGTGGTGAAGATCTATGGTTAGGGCAAATGCTTGTGGTCACAGACATTTGCCCTAACCTAAATAATCAGGGCATAAGCTTCACCAAGTTGAAGTTGATCTTACATAAATCGGACAAACATTCAAGCACATTAACGGCAAGCACCAATATAAGAAGTGTGTGTATATGAGAGAGAAACAGAGATATATAGGGTACTGTTACTGAAAATTAAGATCGGATGTGAAGAAATGAGCTCTTACATGCCCTGATATCGAAACCGGACGTTTCTTCGTCGTCATTGGAGACATATTGTTTTTTATTTCATTGGGCTTCTTTTGTTTACCCTGAAGAAAGCAAACCAGAAACAACTTTAATTATGAAAATCTAGAGAGAGGAGGGAGAAAAAGAGAGTTTTAGGAAGAGAAACCATGGAAGAAGGGGAAGGAGTGGAGGGAGAGAGGGTTGGTGGGTTGTTTGGAAACTGGGTCAGATTCAAATTGTCTTCCATAGATTTGAGACTCTGTTCAGATGTTGGCCATTCGCAAGCAAAACCTTGCTTGTCGTCCTCCACAACTTCCTCCTTGACCACAATGTGGTCATGACCATCACCATGATTCAGAAATTCACTTAGGTTCACACTCTCTATCTTCATCTCTCACACACATACACACCAAAGTTTGCTTATAATTATGACGAGAAAAACGGTTGCAGACAAAAATGGTTGCTTGACAGTAGAAAAGGTAAACCCTATAAACGTGGTTGCTGTGACAGTAGTAATTGTTGGTAAAAAAAAAAAAAAAAAAAAGACAGTAATTGTTGAATTAATAATGACATTATTTTAGAATTTACATACTCTCCCTCTGTCTCAAAAAAAGATGTCATGTTTGAAAAACCATAATTCATAAATTGTGATTCACGGTTTTTCAAATAGGACATCTAATTTGAAACGGAGGTAGTATTATTTTTTCATTGAATTAATGGTGTGTTTGGTATAACCAAACGAGGTGTCAAAAAGAAGTATACTTAAATGAAATGAAAAGGAATAAGAATGGGAATAGAATTTAATGGTGATTCTTATTTTATTGTTTACTTGTGAATATGAAATAAAATGATAATAACTATTCTATAATTTAGTTGAACCAATTTAAAATTAAAGAATCCAATGAATTTCAAATTTAATCATACAAGATATAAATAAATTAAATTAACAAAATAATATTATTTCTATAATTTTTCTTTATAGAAATAATGCAATGGTGGATGGTGGTGATGATGGTGGTGGAGGTGGAAAGCAGTAGTAGTGTTGGAAGGCGGTGGTGGTGACGATGTTGGAAGGCCGCAGCAGTGGTGGTAGCGAAAGTGGGCAGTTGTGTTAATGGAAGGTGGTGGCAGTGGCGGTGGCGGTGGCGGAAACAGTGGTGGAAGGCGTTAGTGGTGATGACAGTGGAAGGCAATGAAGGTGGCAATGGTGTGATGACAGTGGTGGAAGACAGCAGCGGTGTAGGTGGTGGTGCTGGTAGAAGGCAGTGGAGGTGACAGTAGTAGTGGTGGTGGAAGGCAGCGGTGATGGTGGTGGAAGTCGGTGGCAATGATAATGGCTGAAGTCAGTGGCGGTGGAGGTGGCGATAATGGTGGAGATGGCGGTGAATGTAGTGGAGGCGGCGATGAAAGTAGTGGTGGTAGTGGTAGTGGTAGTGGTGGAAGGCGGCTATAGTGGATGCTGTGGCTGGGATGGTGGTGGCAGTAGAAGAAGACGGCAGAGGTGTATGTGGTGGTGGTGAAAGGTGGCAGTGGCGGTAATGGTGGCGGTAGAAGGCAATGGAGGTGGCGCTGGCCTAAAGTGGTGGCGGCAGAAATTGGTGGTGGTGGTAGCGATGGTGGAGGTGACGGTGTGGAAGGTAATAGAGGGAGCGGTAGTGTGGTGGTTGAAGGCGGTAACAATGATGGTGGTGGCAGTGACGGTGGTGGAAGGCAATGGAGGTGACAGTGATGAAAAGCGGCAGAGGTGGTGGTGGTTTTTGGATTTGAAACATGAGGATTTTTTTAGAACTTAATTTTTTTGGTGGTGGTGGTGGCAGTAACGGTGGTGGAATGGCCATTCTATAGGTTTAGTTGTCAAATGAATTTTCATTCCCATAAATGGATTTTCATTTCAATAGAATTATCATTCCCACTTTAAATTACATACCAAACAAATCCCATTACATTACTGCACACCAAACACAGCATAATAGAATATATTCCCTCATTTCCATATTAGTTGTCCTTCTTTTCATTCATAATAGAATATATTTCCTCTGTTCCATATTAGTTGTCCTTCGTTTCGTTCATTTTGTGTTGTCCCAAAATACTTGTTCATCTTCAAAAGTAGGGATGGCAATGGGGCGGGGATCTCATTCTCCATCCTCATCCCCGATCAAATTTTTTACCCCCATCCCCGCCACCATACCCGTTTAATTTTCAACCCCCTTCCCCATCCCCGCCACGCCCCACCACATTAGTCCCCATCCCCGCTCCACCCCGTCTAGCATAACAATTTTTAAATTCCAATTTACCTTTAACAAAATCAACACAGCCATAATATTTTTCAACCTAATAATTAAATAAAGTTTCGGCATAATTATAATAATTTAAAACATGATCATATGTTTGATGCACAACGATTATGTTTTTTCTCTATGCTGCAAGGGAATAGATATAGGGTTTCACTTTCAAAAGGGAATATATTATATATATATAGTTATGTAATTTAGTAATATTTTATAACATGTAAGGGCAATTTTGTAAAAATGCACTATAAACTGGGCGGGGTGGGGCGGGGTTACCCTTCACCGCCCCCGCCAGGGTTTCAAATACAATCATCATCCCCTCCATATTTACATAAATAGATCTCGAAACCCGTCATAAACAGGGCAGAGTGGGGCGGGGACCCGCCGGGTATGGGGATTTTGCCATCCCTATTCAAAAGTGAAAGCAAAACAAATATATTTGTTTCATGGTAACCCGTTAAGATTTTAAAAATCTCTCTAATTAGTGCTATATATATTTGAACTTGAAAGGTCATCATGGTAATTTTATATGAGAACAATGCATTATTTTTTTTTACGAGAGAACAATGCATTAGTTATATATCCTATTAAAAAATTTAAATTTCAATAGTGAACATCTAATATGGGACAAATTTCAATTATGATAATAATGGGGAGTAATTACTATGAACATTTTTTATTTTTGTAATATAGGTTCTTCTAACATGTGCCTTAATAGATATGAAGATGGATTAATTTCCCCTTCCTATGCTTTTAAATCAACAACGCAATAAATTTAAATTGATAATGTAATAATTTTAAATTAATAATACAATTTCATAAAGTTGTTGAATTATTAATTTAGTGATATTGCAGTGTTGCAACAAAGTCATTTTCACCCCTTGTGCGTGTTAACCAATGTAAGTAACCTTTACAACCAGAAAATAAAAGATCACTCGCAATTACCCTTTTAAGGAAAAATTTTAAATTTTTTTACTTAATTATGTATATTTTAAAATATGTTAACTTTTTCAAACTATTAAGTTTAATGGTCAACTTTATCAAACTAATTATAAAAGTGTACAAAAATACTATTTAGACTCTTTAATGATCCAAAATTTTCAAAATACCCTTATCTCATCCAACAAAATTCCAAGGCCTCCAAATTCTTAAACTCCATTGTTTCCGGCTTATGATAAATAAAAAACATGTGATATACTAAAAAGTGATTCCGGTTTATGATGAATAAAAAACATGTCAACTCCGATATACAAAAAAGTGATTCCGGCCATGAACTTTGTATGGACATTCTCAATTAGAATGTGCTGAATTATTGAGGATGTGAAAAAGTTTTTTGAATATTTGAGTCGAGGTTAATTCTAGCACATGGTTGTTGTACATGTAGTCGGTGGACACTGGATCTTCTTTTGAATTCATTACTCATTTCCTTTCAGACTGTGAGAAGTCACTTGCTTCAGAGGTAGGGCCGCCCTGAGATTGAAAAAATCTTGAGAGACCCAAGCGAACTTTAAATGTGATAAGTTTTACACGTGCAAAAAAAAAAAAAAAAAAAAATACTAAAAGTGTAAATTTTTTTTTTGAAGCCCATTAAATAATTTGTTGCATTTGGTTACAATTTTTTTTTTTTGTGGCATCATTCATGGGCCTATAAATTTTGAGGCCCCTTAAATTCGGAAGCCCTAGGCGACCACCTTGGTCGTCTTGGGTCAGGGTCGGCCATGTTTAGAGGTTGTTGAGGGAAAACTCTTTCTAGATATGAGTTATTGCAACTGGGGTTGAGTAATGGCGGGAAATGCTTCTCGAGAGGGTGGTGAGAGCTGGATATTTGGTTTTGGTAATCAAAGTTCTCTTTTCCTATTTTAGTACACTTGTAATGGCTAGAAACAATGGAATTTAGGAACTTAGAGGCGTTGGAATTTTTTGAAAGAGATAAGGACATTTTGGACCATTAGAAAGTCTAAATAGTATTTTTGTACACTTTTGTAATTAGTTTGATAAAGTTAACAATCAAACTTAATACTTTGAAAAAGTTAACATATTTTAAAATATGCATAAGTAGAGTTTTTTTAAATTTTTCCTTATTTTAATTGTATAAATGTATAAGAATGTACATAGTTTGGCCCAAGCAGCCCAACAACAGGTAGCCCAAAAGATTATGCAACAACAGCAAGGCCCAAAGGCTATGAACCCAAAACATTGAACCCAAACCCAAACCCCAACCCCAACTAGGTACAGTTACTCTTGGTATTCAGCATGAAAGGTAGCCGTTGATAACTGCTCAGTAGCAGCAGTTAGCAATGGATGTCAATTCTCATTCCGGTGAGCAACAGAAGATGGTGATGGCAGTGATCACCCGCACAGTCAATCTGGTGGTCGGGAAGGAGCAGCAATCAAGCTCCATTCCCTTGCAAGAGCAAAGATGGGTTCCTTTGAATTCTTGAGTGATCCGGCAATGGAGTTCGCAACAAGCTTCAGCGTCTTATGTATATAGTTGTGATTTGAGTATTTGTGCAAAGTTAAGAATGCATATAAAATGGCATATAAAATAATCAAGGGTTCGCACCAATTGGTACACCATCTTATCAGCAAAAAAGGCACATTCTTAGACATGGCTTGTGTGATTGAAGCTTGCTGGTTTAGCATCCTTGTGTGAGCACTAGACGTCATTGGTTACAATTCAACCTCCTATTGGTATCGTTGTTTTATTAAAGTTTTTTTTGCCTGAAGAAAAGGCCTGTTTGGTTTCCTTTTTGTTCAAAATGGAGTCTTTTGGAGATTGTTCTACCGAATTTGAAGCCTTTTCTTGGCATTGATTTGTTGAAAAGGAAAGATTCGGTAGTAATATTACCAAATATTATTAGCTGTAAATATAATATTTGGAGGATATTTGCTATAAATAGAATATTGGTCAAATATTGTAAATTAGAAAATTATTAATTAGGCCAGCTAGTTATGTGCACGTATTTTCTCTTATAAAGAGAACCCGTCTAAACTTGTGAATTGTGTGCTAATACAGAGAAAAAGTTTAGTCTATATTTCTTCCATTTAAGTTTATATGGTATCAAAGCCACCCTTAAAAAAAAAAAAAAAAAAAAAAAAACCTGATTTTCTTTTCTGCACAATTTCTTCGCTAATCAACTATATCTAACGTTTCCTCCATGTCAACCTCACCTATCACAACCCAGTCAACCAATCCGACAACCCAAGCCCCCAGTACTGATTCTCACTCGGTTCAGATCACCAATATTCGCCTTAATGGTGATAATTATTTACGGTGGTTGTAATATCCCTAATTTTAAAAGGATAGTTTCGGTAGTTCTATTTTATGGTTTTATTGTAATTTGTGCATTGATATATGTGTATTTGGCTATTTGCTTATTTGTTTTATTTAATTGTTGTATTTCTTTGAATTGTTGTATTTAATTGGTTTTTTTTTTTTTTTTTTTTTTTTTTTTTTTTTTTTTTTTTTTGGATTAATTTAGTAATTATTAACTTTAATGTCAAATAGGTTAAATGAGTTTTAAATTAAGTTAATTAACTAGGGTCTTTAGGAAGTCAGTGTGTGTAGCCGACATGGATAACTTTTAGACTACACGGATGGGCCGACTAGGATTGGAAGTAGGGCTTAGTCTCTAATTACACATGGACTAGGGTTATTGTTATAAACCTATAAATATAAACATTACGGTGGTTTAGGGTTAGAGAACAGTAAGCGTAACTCTGTAGAACAGAGAGACAGAGAGATACAGGGAGAAACAAAGAGAGATAAAGAGAGGAAGGCTAGGGTTTTGGCTTAGGCTAAAACTGAATCAAGGAGGGGAGTTTGGCCTGTGTCTGTGGGTTGAACTAGGAGTAGCAGAGGTCGATAAAAACAACCGACGTTGCCGGAGTTACTAGAGACAACAATTTAAGATTTCTAACTGGAAATTAAAGGCAAGTTTCTGTTCTATTCTTTCCCATGAACCTGTGTTCTGTGCATGCTTAGGTGGACTCCAGGGATTTAATGAATGCTTCAATAATCTGTTATGCATGCTTGATATGTATTTAATCTCGTTTACTGAAACTATGTTGAAAATTCTTTAAGTTTCTGTTAATTGGTTCATTTTGTATATATGTTTAAGTTTACTTGTTTGAGAACAACGATGCATATGGTTGCCTTGTAATTAATCTGGAATGTTAAATGAACACTAGAACAAGGATTTAAACATATTACAGAGGCCTGGAAATCACTGGAGTTGAAGAAGAAAAAGGGAAAACGGACGACGGCATCTACGGAAGTGAGAGCGGGCTCCAACAGAGGAGGGAGCCGGCTCCCAAACCCTTAGAGCCGACTCCCAAGGAAGGGGAGCCGGCTCTGGATGCTCTGGAGCAGGCTCTTAGAGCCCTAGAGCCGGCTCTAGTTGTAACAGAGCAGGCTCTCAATTTTGAGAGAGCG